GCTTTGTACTGAAGCCATTACTGTACTTCAGGTACCATCTCATGGAGACAATTATACTTCTTCCTCTGAGAGGTTTTTTGTGGAGGAAATACAGAATGGCAGCTTCGCTACTTTCTTCTATGATGTTTCCTCCTTCATTACAGTAATTTTTCAGTATCTTGAACATCTTTGGGTAGTTAAGATACTTCTATTGGTATTTCTTGGGAATATTGTTTCGGTTTTGTCTAAGGTTAATAAGCAATTTAAGAATATTATCCAGAGATCTGCCCCAAGGCTGGACAGTTATGAGTGGCAGGGGGGGGGGGATAGCATGGGCAAGTACCTAGGACAGTATTACAGCATTTTTTTCTTAAATGAGTCTTTGAAGGTGAAGTATTTGTTTAGAAAAATCAGTTTGAAATACCAGTGCTCATAGGGCTGTCTGCAAATACTACACCCGCCTCCCTAAGTTGTCAAGGTAGTAGAAGTTTTAAACAAAACAGATCTGCATTTACTGCTATATGAAAATCATTTTTCTCTATTCCTACATTCAAAAATACTCTTATTTTAAGAGGAAAAAGAACTGTAGATACCTGAACTCACTCACATATAATTCTAAAGGCACGGCTGATTCTCAGGGCACTATAGCCTGAAGTCTAATCATTTTCCCATATTGAGAGTATTGTGTCATTCCTCTCCAGAAGAGGTGACAATGCAAGTCCTCACCTCTGGGTGAAGTGCTCTGAGAAATCAGGGAATGACTAATACACATCCTCTTAACCATGACAACTGAAATGGTTGAATTGGAACGTACTAACAGTCACCGTCTTTGACAGCATTCTTTCAAAGACAGCAGAACTAGCAATGTCCCATTATGGTTTGAGACAAATAAAATACCCAAGCCTAATGAAAAAAGCTGAATGGATCAAGAGGTTTTATCCAGTACAAGCCCAGGGAGCAGAAGTATAATTTTTGCAAAGTGCACACCTTTTCATTTAAAAAGAACCTGCAAACACGAGGCTAAGAGGAAAGAGAAAGACTGTGCATTTCAAATACAGAACTCAATAGATAGGTAGATTCAAGGTTTTATGAGTCTACCTGTTGCTTGCTGCCATTGTGTTTAGGGAAACAGGACTCTACATTTTGTACAAACAAATAGGACTGTACAAAAAGAAACAGCTAATCCATACTGCCAATTTCAACAATTCTGCAGGCTTCAAATATTGACTAACTGCAGGACTCAGAGGAGTGACAACATTGGTTAAACCCTTGACATATGAATATGCATGAAGTTGAGAAAATACCTGTAACTATACATTATATATTCAGTTCACATACATTAATTAAACTTTTGTACTGCATTTTATTAGACAAAAATGCTAGACATACTTCTGTATTATTTTATTTCAAAAGAAGCAAAATTATTACATCTAGTGAACCTCAGTCTACATAATTGTATCTTTTAATTGATCGTCTTAAATGTTTTAAAACTAAAATTGCCTAATTTATGCTGAACTATTAGTGCTGCTGTTGAAGATTCTTAATCAGGTCTTCTTATAATTTAAACAATGAGGTACTCTGAAGGTTTATTTATATACTAGCACATTTCATAAAATATTAAAGGAACACAGAAAGAAGAACATTGTCTTGCTTGGCATAGATATAATGTAAACTTTTCTAACCTTAGTTTTCTTGGCTTTCATTTGTATTTTTCCTAAAATAACAAACATTGAAGGCTCAGGTTGAGTTGCAGTAGCTTCACGTAAGCACTCTATGGCCTTATTGTGATTTTGACAAAATGACTGAATGAGCGCTTGCTGAACAGGCTGAGCCATAAAGGATTCTGGAAGGAAACCACCATGAAAAACAATAATCTCTTTTACTTCAATCTATATGTTTTCCAGTGTAAAATACCTTTAAATGATATGCAAACTTTAAAATGCTATTAAAATATTTGGAGTATCAAAGTTTGTTTTAACATCCATAAAAATAAAAATGTAAACTAAATTCCTACAAAAGTCTGAAGTTGAACAGTTATTTATCAAGGAGCGTGGTTTGACTGCTAAACATCTGCAAATATTTACCTTCCTCTCCCCACATCTACGAAGGCTTTGCTCTGTGGAAGTATCACCATATGCCTGCTTTGTTTTTATGCTCTTGTGCCCTGTGTATCCACTCTTGGTCACTACCAGAGACAGGAATTTAATCTCATACAGTATGGCTATTCATATGGATTCACCAAGAGCTTCAGGACGCATTGAACACTGCCATTTTATGCCCAGCATATAACAAGGAACTACTATACTGCAACATTTTTACTGTTTGAATGTACTGGGAAGGTTCAGTTCTAAAGTTATTTGATATTTTGTTAGGAAAGACTGTACACAAGTACAGAACAGAATCTTTACTCAATATTCCTTTAAAGCAGAAATTACCGATATTGAAAGGTAGAAATAAAAAACAAGAACTCAAAAGATAAAGGAAATTCTGAAATCACAGGTGATAGTACAGGAAATAGTGTACACCATTATTACCTTTAAAGGCTTCAGACATGCAATCAAAATACTCTAGATAATAAGTTCCTATATTTTAGCTGATTCATGGTAACTAACCGATTTGCATGCTTGAATTTAATTTTTTTGAACAATTCCTTGGTTACAGACTGTTGCTATGGTTCACAACTATCTAGGAAAATTGATGGAAATTGATGTTACCTTCATCCATTTCTGCAAGTTGGTGAATACATAAACTTGCCAGCTCATATTTCTTCAACTCCATTAAATACTGTCCCCTGTAATGAAATATTTGTTGGATGTGATTAGTAGAACTATTTCCAGGCATTTCTTTCAAAGAGCAAATACTACTGACATATGTTTTCATTAGTATAAAAAGAGAAAAAGGAAAAATAATGCCTTCCAATAAAAACATCCAAAGTTTTTCCTTTTTTTCCCTTCAGAAATATCTGTCGCATTTTTAATTTTTTCTCTCACATCACAGTACCAAGAAATTATATGCTTACCTCTCTTCAGATCATAGGAGTTACAAAAAGACATTTTCTTTGGATTCCACAGATAGTAATCCCTACAATCTCAAGAACTGCAATAATAATCTTAATACTGTTTCTAAAATCCACCACAGACTGATAGCTGATAGATACATTCTGTTTCCAAGGACAATTTTTTGCTTCTTCAGATATTGGCATCAGTATAAGAGGTCATGCTAGCCAAACCACACTCAGAGACAAGCTGAGCAAACCCACTCTTAAAACTGGGAAAATATGGTATTATTGACTGGAACATAGTAACTAATTCTCCTAATACACCTGAGGAATAATATCCTAGCATTTCTTCCTTAGTTCTTACAGATTTTCAGGGGAGGAAACAGTTTTATCTAGTAATTTTTTTTTTTTAGTCTTGGTAAAGGTCACTACTTCTCACTGGGCTGAAGATGGGGAAGAAGAATAGTTCAAATCTAAATTGGCCTGGACTGAATCCTTCACATTCTTTGCATTATATGGATCCTGCAGACAAATCAGTGAAGGACCCATCCACTTGGGGACAACATTTAAAATTATTAATTTTTTAAAAGTTCAAACTTGCTTTTTTGTTATGGCACCTATTTACTTCCTTTTCCCCAGAAACTATATGTACCTCAAAGAGCAGAATCCTGTATTCAAAACAAGGTTCCTCCGTCCAGGGTAATGATTACAATAGTTGGGTGACACTATGCAAATAAAGTTCTTCAGGTTTGAAAACACTATGAAAATACGACATTTTTTTAAAACCCATTCAGAGCAGGTTTCAAAGAATACAAGGGTATCTACGAACAGCATTCCAAATGGAAATTTTTTTTTAAAGTGAGATATCTGTGAAGTCCTCGACTAATCACTTTCCTACCTTAATATGCAGAGTTGTGGTTTATTTGGATAAAGATGAATGGCTCTGTTTATATCCTTCACAGCATTTGGTAAATTATGAATCTGTAATTTATAAAGAAAAAACCAGCAATTTAATTGCTAATATGAACACAATTTGGAGACACAATTACTATTTCTGTAAATGCAGTTATGCAGGATGTAATGCCCACATGGTAACAACTCACAAGGCACATATGCCCTCTGTAAAGGAGCTCAACATGTTTTAATAAAGGCCTAAAACATTTGCCCTACATATTTCTATACTCTCCCACAGGGCAGATCCAAACTCCAGACAGTTTCTTTACTTTTCTAAAATCCAAAGAAGAGTCTGGACTATTAGGAAGGAGATTAGGTCATGAGATCCACATGCACGTATGTCCTGATGAATCTTTGTTGCTGTAATGAATTTGCATTTATTTTTCAAGTGTCTGTGCATGTGGTCCCATTCAGTGTGCTTCAGATGCTGAGGAGGAAGGAGATCATTACAGTGAAGATCCCAAGGACTGATTCATCCAGCTGGGATAGCTGCTAACTCGAACTCTCATTAAAGAACAGCATTGATGGAATGCATGTACTGAGCTTTATTTTACTGCTTTACATTGAATACTGCTTTACATTGAAATTAAAAAAAAAAAAAAAAAAAAAAAAAAAAAAAAAAAAAAAAAAAAAAAAATATCATCAATCCAATGAGATGGACTCTGAGTTAAAAGCCATTTCCTTTAGTTGTGGAAGAAAATGAACAGTGTAAGCAATTTCTCAAAACATTTTGAAAACAAACTAAGCACTGTGAGACTCAACAGTTGTTTGAATTCTGCCAATGAAATCTACAGAAATTAGGTCACATTGAATACTCCATTCCTTGTACTCCTGAGAGGGTCTCAGAAAAACAACTGCTAGCAGAAACTAATCTCAAATCCCATGCAGAAGTAGAACAACATTCTGTTTCACAGTAAATTAAAATATTGAAAATGTTTTCACTCCCATTTGTGTGGAAGAAAATTTGAATTTCCTGAAAAGTGAGTATTCTCAAGAAACTTCTGTTTAGAAAACACTATTTCAAAATGGGGGGAGTTATATTTTAAAAATAGATATTTTAAAAAATATTTTTGAAATCTATTTCAAAAAAATTTATTAAAGCTCAGAGTAGATGTACACTGATGTAGAAGAGATAAAATTACACTTGAAATATTTTGTATCGTTGCATTACATGCCAACAATATTTTACAATTGCAATGTATGTAATTCTATTATGGTGACAAGGACTACTTGAAACTTACAGCTATAAGCAGGTTCTAGCATCTGTATAACATCAAGGCATAAGTATTAAAATACTCACAACAGCCATAAATATAAAAAAAGCTATATTAAGTGGCAAATAAAAGCAAAAGGAATGTATTACCTTATGATATGCTTGCGCTCTGCATACATAGGCTTGAACATTGAGAGGATCAATTTCAATGGCATTAGTAAATTGTCGAATAGCTTCATAGTATTGATCGAGATGCAACAGCAGTATCAAACCAATATTTAGGTAAGCAAAGATGACAGAGCTAAAAACAGATATTTTTTCCCTTTTGTTATTGCATGAAATACGTCATTGTATTAACCACAACTTATACAGGCTTCATCTACTTTTATGACATTGACCACACATCTATTTTGTGATCACACTGAGCTAAAGAATAGTAATTGCCAGCAGAGGAGATAGCTCATTAAAAAACACAATTTCAGTAGCTTGTGAAGTTTGGCTGCACACTAGAGGCTCTCTGATCACCAAAAGCAGCACTCCAAATGTTAATTGTGAAGAAATTATGACAAGTCTCTGTTGTAGAAGCTGGACTAGAAATAGAGCTAGCTGGTAATTTTGTATATACTGAATACACCGAGAAATACTGAATTCTTCAACGTTAAAAACACATTGTAGTTTTAAAAGACTGACAAAGCTTACATGTTTTCCATCTAGCCTGCTCCCTTATTTTCTGTCATTTCACTTGGCTAGCTGCTAGGGAGACCTGGGTTTCCAAGGTCTGCAATATCTTGTGCAGCCCACTCTTACAGACTGTTTCTACACAAAGTTCAAGACTTCCTACAGCAGAGCCAAGACAAAGGAAGAGCTGAGGGGTCTTTAGGCCTGCCACAGATCGGAATGGAAACCTTTGCTCAAGACAGGACTGTTGAGGTTGCCCAAGGCTGAACAAGAACTCAGTACCTTTAGAGTAAGGTAATTAATGCAGCTAACTGGTATGGGAGGCTTGTTGCATATTGTAAGACTGTTTCCATGGCAGGGCTGCTACAGATATAATCTGTTTCTGAAGTATTTTTAAGTGGTAGGAAGAAATGCAATTCAGAGAAACCACATCATCTTCAGTCACCAACTATCAAGGACCATAAACAGCATTTTTTTTAATTTTATTTTATTTCAGGGACACCATTTACTGGCTTTTGCTAAAGAAAACATTGTGGCATTTTCTTTTGGGGAAAAAAAAAGTTTAACTTTTTACCTGCATTGTGGACAAATTCCCTCCCAAAAGACTAATGAAATTATTATTGCAACTTTAATTAGGACTTCAGTTTCATCTTTTGTCTGCCAAACCTGAATAATTTATTTGCCAAGTTGCTATATAAAGCAAAATAAAATTTAATTTTGAAATACATTAATAATTATTTTTATTATACTCAGACTATAGCAAATGAGGCAAAAGATACTAAAAGAAGACAACGTTATTTTTTTGTGTAGGTTAATTCCAGTCTATTTCCTGAATAACATTTCTGATTCTACATTCCTTTATTAGTACTTTTATGCCCTCAGGTAATCAGAATATAAACAACATATATTAAAATTCCCAAGTCCAATCACCTGTCCAAAGCTAGGACACTTTGAAAGTCACAGATTGCAAATGACCATTGACACTGTTCTGAGTAAACAATCCCACGATGAAGAAAAGAACAGAAGTTTTCCTGAGTGTCATTGATGAGTACTGTGGGAGAGGAAGAACAAAAATCAACTGTTCAGATATTCACATATATTTCAGTTACTCCATGCAACTTATTTGTACATTACTTTTTCCTCTAGTTTTCTTAGAGTTTTATAAAATATCATAGATAAACCATAACATATTAGATCATAACAGAAACTGTTCATTGTGGCATGAAATACCTTCAAGACATTTATAATTCTCAGTTACACCCACTCGAATTGTTAAAAGTGAAGCAGAAAAGCTTAAGAAGCAGAGGCAAAATAACTGAAGAAAAACAACAGCAGCAAGAGTCAATGTCTAATAGCAAACTTAATAGAAATGAAAAGGAGCAATTTATTACCAAACACTGAATGACAACCATAAATTTCAATATTTGCAACATGAAATATCTGTGTTATATTGCAGTATAGTAATTACTGGTGAATGGTTGAAGGACCGTAATAAACATACACACCATTAAAAGAAACAAACAATACCAGAAACACTGAAGTCCTGCACAGCTCTTTTTGGATCAATCTGTCGTAGTATGCAACCTCTATAGTAGAATGCTAACCAACAAGAAGGGTCTAGGTGAACCGCTGCTGCCAAGTCTTGTATTGCATTTCTATACTGCTGCTGCTTAGCATATGCTCTTCCTCGATACAGCCTAATAAGGAAGAAAGTTTCTCTTTAAACATCATTTCCCTTAGAAAATTATACCTACAGAATGAAATCATAGTGTGAAGTCATAGACTATTATTTATAATATTAACAGGTTGAGTCAACAATACCAAGAGTTCTTCCATTGTTTTTGTCATGCAATCTTGAAGTAATTATTCAGGAAAAAAAATGTTGAAAAATAGAATAAACATTCAATTTTCTTTCTGAATTTAATAAAGCAAGTCTGAAGGAACAAAGTCCGGTAATCTATACCATATAGATAGATCACTGCACTTGCATAAATCAAGTTCAATATACTAGAACCCCATATGAGCTTTGGGCATCACAGAGTTAAACTGAACTCTCTCCAAGTTCCATAGTCTATTGGTGCAGCAGTTTCTGTATGGGAAATACCAGATTTTGTTAAATCTGGTTTAAAAGAAAAAAATATAAAACCGCCCTCATTACTATTAAAAGCTTTCTGAAAACATCCATTCTATTCTTCAATATTTCTTTCAAACAGACAAGTTTACAAAATCAGATCCTACTATTTTACACTAGTCCTCCCTCAGATTCAGGAAGCTAGCAATATATTTAAACAAGATAAATCATAAGCACAGGTGAAAAAGTTTAAATAGACAGCAATGGCTGTAAATTATTTTATCGGCTGGAAAATTATTTTATCAATGCAAAATGTAATATATAAAACATATTTTTGTATTACTGAAGATAACTTTCACTTATTAAGCAGGTCTTATGCCACATCCCACTTCTATGCAGAGTTATCATGCAAAATATATACCATTCCTTTTTCAGTCTAACACAGTAAAGTCAGTTCCTCAAGAATTTAACTCTACACAAACACAAGGCGCCGATACTAATCATACTCACTAGGACTATTCACAGAGCCCACACATCAACGTGTGAGCCTCAATGAACTAGTGGATTTCAGGAAGCCAAATGCAGCTTTATGTTGCTTCAAGATTTTATTTCAAAGTCAGAGTTTTAAGAAGCATCTGTAAATTACTTTAGTAGGACAGGAACCTAATGTCATAAGAAAGCTTTGCATGATTCTGTGGTTCCCTGTGATGAAGGAGATGACTGACAAGTAGAAGATACACATAGGGGAATCCTTCCCAGGCCATTTCTATTCAGTTTGGATGGGAATCAGTTCCAGAATAAGACATCTGAACTTAGGTGTCTATTTGTAGACGTCTACAACATATGTTAGGTGTCTGACTTTCCGTTACAGTTAAGGAAGATCTACTCAATATAATCCAAGGAGATGAGAGCAATTCAGTTCATCCAAAAATATACACTTACTGGCTGTTTAGCTGAACAGCTCTCCAGGCTTTATAGAAGAGTCTATATTCAGTCTACTAACTGTATTGATTGGAGTCCTTGGTGATAATGGCTGCTCAGACACCTACATCCCATGGATACAACAAGCTGACATCTAAATTCAGGTATCATACTCCGGTATTGAATATCTGCTTTTATTTTTATTTTACATCTGTTTTCATGAATCCAGAATAGAGTATAAGAAGAATGTAAATCTTTGCAGGAATGATATTTTTAATATCACATTTTCTAGTAGGGAAGTCATATAATTTTTTTTCAATCTTTGTAAGTCAAACCTAAAAATCATCGTTATAATTAAAAAATAAAGATGCTTCTCATTCATAATTCAAATTTTTCACAGAAAACATTAACTCAGCATAATGTTAAAACTAGAAGTGTCAAGGCAACCAATGGAAATTAGGCATAGAACTATGTAATCCTTAAGGACATTCTTCACTTTGAGCATGTATTTAAATGCAGCTCTTTAGAGCAAAGCACATATGCACGTGCTTAAGTCCAACTGACTCTATATTTGCATTAGTCCAGTGGGATCTGAGCACATGGTTCTGTGCTTAGCTAAATTAAGGTCTAGGGACTAATCCAAAGTCATTAAAGTAATACAAAGATTCCCCAATGAATATCACGGCCTAGAAGTCTTATTCTATTTCTATTAGACACCTCTTTGGAAATGCAATTGCTTTATTATTGTTTAATGCATATTCAGTCTTTTACATATTAATACTATTTTAATAATCCACTTAAAATTCAAATACTTTTGTCAAACTATATATTCTACCTCGCCTGAGCATTGCTGGGGTCTTCCTTGATCACAGCTGTAAAATCCTGAATAGCTGCTGTCAAAACTGAACAATCAAAGAAATGTATTCCATGTTTCATAAGTGCATCTGTTCTTTTCGGGTTATACTGAAAACACTATAATGAAAAAAATAAAGTAGTACGTGATGTTATTCCTCATTCTTATTATTTCTAATGATTAAAAGTCTTAACCAAGCATAAAAATAATATATTCTTTTATTCTCAGATTTTTTATTCCTTTGTCCTTTAATGTCTATTGTCATTTCCATTAACTGTAAAGTGAAATAAAAAAAAGTAGTGATGCAAGCTTATTAGTGGCTGATAATTTGTAGACATTCAGTAATTTATTGGATTAGCTGGCAGGAGTAACAGAAAATTACTTATTTATTTCCATAGCACTGATTTTTTTTTTTAAACATCATTTATTTAAAAGGATATCCATTCTCCAAGCTACTTGCCAGATATATCCAAATACAGTTTACTTTTACTAAAGTTACACAAAAGTTACTACATTATTGTAACAATACAAAAAAGTGAACTTACTTTGGCATAATCATCCATGGCCAATAACAATTGATTTTCCTCAAAATGCAACTCAGCTCTCCTAAAATAAATGTCATCATCTGTAGGGTTGCACTGTATCGCAGAGCTATAATTGATGATTGCCAATGTATTATCACCTTGTTTCCTGTAAATTTCAGCCATTGACAGGTATGTATCTGAAACAACCACCCAAAATATAAAAGGCACTATGTAGCAGCCCAAAACAATAAGTCATCTCCTCCTTACAGGGTAATTAACAGGAGCAGTAGAAATAGAATAGTAGATGATACAAAAGGTTGGGAAGTCCTGTTTTAATCTGAGCAACAGAACTCAAAAGTTTAGAGCTATGGCTGTGTGCTCAATCGTGGAGCTCATGCAGCTCTAAACTGATAGCTCTTGCTGGATTCACAGGTACTAAAAATCGTTGCTCTCTGTAGAGCTCTGCAGAAATGGTCCATCAAGCAATTTAGTGTAACCTGTTGATCACAAACAAATATAAAGAGATTTAGTTTAAATGGGCCCACACAATATTTATCCCACTGTATTGGGTCTGGTCAGGATAGAGTTAACTTTTTTTATAACCACCCATACGGTGCTGTGTTTCGGATTTGTGGCTAAAACAGTGTGGATTACACAACAATGTTTTAGCTCTTGCTGAACAATGCTTGCACAGTGTCAAGGCTTTACTTATTTATTTCTTTATTCCCCCCACTCTGCCTGCTCCCCACCGTGTAGGTTAGAGGTGGGCAAGAAGTTGGGAAGGGACATATATCTGGGACAGCTGACTTAAGAAGGCCAAGGGGATATTCCATGCCATATAACGTCATGCTCAGCACTTCCAAGTCCATGTCCAATTAAAATTTCCTTTGTTGCAACCTGTGACCATTGCCTCCTGTTTTGCTGTGCATCTCTCAGAAGAGTCTGATTCTGTCTTCTCTGCTGCCACCCATTATGTAGCTGAGAACAGACTTCCCTCTTAGCCTTACCTTCTCCAGGCTAACTCACTCATCTCCCTCAGCCTTTCCTTATACAGCTTAGGCTCCAGACCCCTTGAAAGTTTTGAAAATCATTATAGTTGATTATTTCACAACTTAAAGATTCAGTAAAACAAGATACTCTTCAACACCCTGACCATCTTAATGGCTTTCCAATAGACTCTCTCCAGCTTGTCTCTCTCATACCAGGGGTTCCAAAACTGGACAAAGTATTGGAAGTGCAGCATCACAACCTGGCTGAGGGGAATCACTTTCCCTGACCTGCAGAGCCTGGTCTGTCAACCAGGTGGTATCTTTCCCTTTTAAGCTCCTCCTTCCCAGTTTAAAGGGTATGGCAGAACAGGGCTGACTGAAGCACAATAGCACACTGTCTCCATTACAGGATTGTTATCAGCTTTCCCCATTAAATTAACGGATACAATTTCCATAAGTCATCCTTTTTTTTTTTTTGGCATTTTTTAAAAACACACTAAAATGAAGTACTTATTTTTGCCTTAGAAACCCAACTTCTGTCCCAAACCTTTGAAGATTCATGTCTGCTTTATAATCTTTTTATAATATGGGTAAAACAACTGATGTAAGCTTAAATACATACAAAAACATTTGCAGAACTAGGGCCAAAAGCAACTAGAGAAAAAACACTATGAAAAATGAACTGTTAAGTTATACTTCAATAGATACTTACCTGCTTTATTTTTGCTCCATTTAGTTATAAATTTCAGGTCATCCAAAGCAGCAGAAATTCTGTCTTGAAAGAGGTAAATCAAATGTCTATGCCAGTAAGCATTAAGCAGTAGTGGTTCTAAGCTTATAGCCTATAAATAAAATAAGTAAATAACTTACTTATATTGCAGAAGGAACTTCTCAAGTGTGGTAACAATAGGACATAGGAAATGAGAACATTTTTGGACTGAAATTATTTTTTTAAGAAAATTCCTAGACTGACAAACTTTTATTTAACCTAAAAATCTGAAAAATTTTACTGATGTCACTTGTTTATTTAAAAGCATCATGTACTTACACATATGCAGAATCAGAGTCCAAGCTACCAGAATATTCAGCACAAAATATTGATCAGCTGGGATATTACCATGTTTGATGATTTCTTTAAAATAGTTATCTGAACTATTTCTAGAAGTCAGAATTCTTCTATCTGAAAGTAAGAATTAACCTGTCCCTGTGAAAAAGGAATCAGCTTTTCAAACCATGCTGTTATGATTCCTATAGAAAGCACTTAACATCCCCTAACAAAAATCACTTGACAGATATTATCAATCAAATAAGATATTTCACATATGTTCATTATAACACACACTTAACAGCCATATGGAAATATAGAGACTGATACAAATCTGAGACTCTTCTGCTACAACAGTAATTCTCAAATTTTGGTCTATAAACTATTTCTAGGATCCATAAACTACATAGGAATTGTGTTCATATATCTTAAAGAGCAAAGTCAATAATGTTTTCACTAAAGTATGCAATAGCAATGGCAAGCAATTTTGTCAGTTGGTATTGGCCCATTGGTCAATGAACCACTTTGCCAGGGTGTGGAATTTTTAGCCTTTCAGATCCTTGACAGTCTGTTTCTAAAGTTTGGGGTAAATAAAAAAGACAAGATAATCATTGTGTTTCTATGAATATAGTCAATTTTCTGGTCAGATAATTTATGAAGTTTGGAAAGTAATATGTACAGATTGCAGGTGCATAAAATAGGTACCTATGTCCCATTAAAAATAAAAAAAATATAGATTTATCCCCAAGAGAAGCATTAACAGAAATGGTGTTATAAAAGGAAATTTCACCCTAAGACAATATGCATTTTGGGAAAAGCAAACTCTAGAAACAGAGTAAAATATGAAGGGTGGATCTCACTGCAGGACACACTGTGAGCCTCCTTAAAATCTACTGTGGCTTGAGACTGTTAGCTGAAAGGAATTCAGAAACCAACGTGAAGCCAAGCTGTTTTGTACTTCATTGTTTCGTTCCTCCACACATTTCCAAATATTCCAGCCAACTGAGTTTTGCATTTTAGCAAAAGAAATGCTATTTATATTATTTAAAGGTGCCTGTTGTTAAGTCTGTTTTCAGGGACACTGGCAGATTGATGGTGTTCTACTGCCAGAGAGCAATATCAACACAAAAGATCTGGTTCAATCTTGCATTATCAAGCACTCCAGTACAAGGATCATGAACCCCAAAGCAGCTGCTGAGGATTGCTTCTCCAAACACCAAATGCTGTGTTAAGAGCCAAGATGTTGGCTAAGGAAAGAAGGACATCTTTTGCTGTACGACGTTATATATAGGATGAAGTACTTTGGGGTCCCAACCTGGTTATGACTAGCTGTGTGTAATATAGATGTTAAATGACAGTGAAAATACCATACTGAAAGTACAACACATGACTTCTCTACCCAGGTTTCACAAGCATGCAGAACTATACCATTGTTTAAAGAATTCCTTTGAAAGCTTTCACAGCTTCCACATTTAAATTATAGACTTTAAAAATATTCTTTTCATTTCTGTTTTTTCAGCAATTTTTTTATTCTGTTTTGGTTGTTTCTTTCTAGTTGTGCAGGGTCTTGGGCAGAAGTAATGGCAGGTTTGTAGCACTATAAAGGGAACTTAAAAGTGTTGAAAAAATAAACTTACATAGAAAAACACTAGTGTTATTGTATAAAATCTTAGTGTCAAATGATAGTTTAATTACAAACAGGAAATACATGACTTTTCAATTTATTTGCTTACTATGCTTTTGCAGAAATTGAAAATGTATTTGTCAACTTGCCAGCAGCAAAACTTGAAGCAAAACACTTTCTGTCCTTTTTGTCTATCCTATCTCCAACTCCATTTAGGAGTATTGTATCCTGAGCAAGGGTCTCCAGAGAAACATTATGGTGCTTGGAGAACACTAGGGTAAATAAGCACAGTTTATTAAGAGCCTGCATCTTCATTCTTGCAGGACTAAACTTGGATCATGCTGTCATACAAAGGTAAAAGGTGGCAGCGTTCAGCTAGTTATCAGCTCCCCTGCTTCTAGTTCTTCACCTGTTGAAGAATTCAGACACTCAGTTGAAAAAAAAAAGGTGCTTGATAGAAGTAAAATTTGGCATTAAACTTACTTTTTCCAAGTCATCCATAGCTGACTTTAACTTGCCTAACTTTCTTTGTATTGCTCCACGCCTGCAGTAGTGAAAAGCTGAAGGATGCTCTTCCTTTTCTATTAGCTCAGTCAGTTGTCTTATTTCTTTTTCTAAATCTTCGATACTAACTGTTGCACCTTCAAGAAGAACAGGCTGTATTGAGTCAACTAGTTCTATTTGTAGATTTGCTTCTTGAGAGTCCACCGTACCAGTTCCTTTTAGTAATCCAGTATCCTTCTCCTCAGAAGCAGTCCCTCTAGGAGGGAAAGTTTCATCAAACCAGCAGTTCCATATTCCACTGGCCCACATGCGAGCAGAAGTTTCTTTTGGAATTCCACCCCTCACTTTTGCAAACTTTTCAAAATCTAACAAACAAGGGATGCTGGGGCTCTGATATTGTTTGATTGCTGAAGACACCTTGATACTGAATTTATCATTAATAGGAAGCCTTTCCAGAGACACAGACCTACGGAAAAATATGCTGAAATTAACTAAAGGTTCCCAGATATATTAACAATATCAAATTGCAATCTGCCAGTCAACAACTATTCAAAAACCTATTGTTAGCTCTCTTGTTAATGATAATTTTTTAACTTATCAGCCATTCTCAAAAACCATTATTGAAGCTGCAGGTAAGCAGAATTGTTCTGAATGATTCACGTCCCCAGAATGTTCAGCACTTACTTGCAGTTGCATGCTTCTTTCCTCCAAAAGCTTCTAACTTAGGTTTACAAGGACAATGCTAAACCTAAGTACAGTATCTCAGAGTGGACAGTTACCAGCCTGGCTAAATGATGATAAATCCTAGATGGATGAATATATCAATGCTAGATTCCAGTGGTATTAGGAAGAGGCCATGAGAATATAAGCAGAAGAAGCACCACCCAGAGGTGAAAAAAAGCACTTGAATTTACAAGGACATTTCCAAAATGATAATCTGGGAAAATTCATAGCTTCCAAGATGAGAACCTTCACAAATATTCAATATCAACATCTGCTTTGAGACGTCGAAGTGAAAGAAACAGAAGCCTTTACAGAAACACTTAATCTTTATCACAAAAAATACTAGCCTTGCTAACACAGAAGACAATATCAGAAGGGAATACAGAGAAAATATTTTAAACATATATATATTTAGAATACTATGTACCTAATTTTTATAATATTTTATACATAAGGCTCCTACTAGAACAAGAAAGGGAAATTAAATAAAAAATGTAGCAGGCCCATGCATGAATGACATGCAAAATAGTGCAAAGATGAAATCCCCTTGGTTTAGCAAAACTGATATGAAAGCCTTAGACAGCAAAGAACATACAGTACCCCTAAAACAAGACTTTGGAAAAAGGCCACCTTCTCCCTTAGTCACAGCTCACTATACCAGTATATCACACCATTTAAGTATCTGATTTTCTTAAGAATAAACCTACTGAAAGGTGCCTAAAAGCAGAAGAAAAAAGCTGAATGGAAAACTGGTCTGAAGGACCAGGCCTGAGCATCAGTGTAAGTACAATGTGGACGCATATGGCTGTACACAAAAAACAGACAACGTTCGGGGGTTTTTTGCAGGTCACACTTCAAGCATAAGTATTTAAGAAATGTCAAAAAACTAGCAAGAATGTTAATTTCTTTTCTTTTTTTTTAATAGTTGAATATTTTCTAAGGTACCCCATATCTGAAGTACATAAATAATAAACACTCACTAGAAAAATATTTTGAGTGATACATGAAAATAAAAGGTAAAAAGCAAACTACTTGTCTGATATAATCTGTGAAGTTCATGGTACAAAGGAGGTTAGTCTAGCCTAGCATTTCAGTTTCCTAAGAACTTAGAATTTCCCCCTTGTCTTTCAGAAGAAAGAAGTCTGACCATTTTAATCATGCATTTATACTTAGATAAAACTTCTTCTGTTGTTGCATGAAGCAACACCATTTCTATTTAAAGTGCAGTATATACTAAATGTCCTAAAGATATCTGAGCAGTATGTATTTTTTCTTTGCATTAAAAAAATGTACATTATTCCTAAATAACCAAACTATTATTACTTAATTTCATAGCAATATTTAATATTAAAAAAGAGGAAACCTGTAATTAGATAATATGGCTACAAATTAAAATACATTCTTTAAAAAGGCAATACAAATTAATTAAAGAAAACCTTTTAAGAATCTTCGGGGGTTGACTTAATTTCTTAATCACAGCTTCTAATTTTCTAGGGTTTATTATTTTCTTTGATTTCTTTGTTTTCTTTCTTCTTGGGAAAACAGCGTGTTTAATCCCAGCCTTTTGAGGTCGCTCCACAAGAACAATGTCATTCTCAGTATCCTCTTGTCCACTCAAAGTAGGCGTTTTTTCTACTGGTATGTCTGTCTGCATTGACTGAGGATCATCACAGATTTGATTCAATAGATGCTTGGTAGGGGAGCTTTTCCCGATCTCTGTCTCAACCTCTGGCTCAGCTATGTGTTGCTTCATAACCTTCAACTCTTTCATGCTGGTTTTGAAATTAGCTGACATATTTAACATAGTTTCATCTTTGAAAGCAGTCATCTCCAGAGCTGAGACTGATCTTTTAATCAAACTTGTCTGTTAAAAAAGGAAACTTAATTTATTTAGATGTTCATTTATATATCACATTTCCTTAGTTTTAAAGGACTGGATTTTATTTTATATAAAATTGTAAAGAAAAAAAGAGCGACATGGGGACTATACTGTTGAAGAAAAATTAGAGTATTTAATGGGAAAAAAGATCTGCATACCTCAGGATATGTGTCAAAGCAAAGAGATCTGAAACATTAATTCAAAGTTATTTGAAGCTCAAAAAGGGCTAAAATCAATCTTCTCTAAAAAGTATCACAAGAAATTTGAATTAAATACCCCCAGTCCTTGTAGGAAAGTTAAATTATAAAATAAAAATGTATGCCACTGGTGGTGACATTTACAAAAAGATGAACTGAGATATGCTCATGAACTCAGAAGAAGAGACAGGAGGACTCTGTATAATGTCTGGAAGTACAATTGTATTATATGGAAACACAGTTAATAACTGAATGGAATTAGGCACCCTCATACTTTGGGTCCCCATCCCTGAATCACCTAACGAAATCAAAACGGAAAGAATAATTGTTATCCTCTGGTGTTTAATTGTTATTAATTATTAAGCAAGTACTATTTGCAATAGCAAATGTATTGCTTCTCAGTCTTTTTGTTAATCCCAGTTCACTAACTTGCACTATAATATTAGGTATAACACAGCTTTGGCAAAGAAATTAAAATGCAAGTTCATGCCCACTGCCTGAAATTTACAGAGGGAAACACTTGTCAGTAATAAATAAAATAAATGAAAAAATAAATGAAGCATTGAATAATTTTGAAAAATTTTTCATTAGACCCAAAGAAGCACTTTTTCAATACTTGGTTACAAATGTCTGCTAAGAATTATTTAATTTATGTATTTATTTGAAAGACACTGCATCAGCCTTTAGTTTATTTTAATAATAATTTAAAGCACTCCATTTAAGTAACTAAATACCTTTCATTCTTTATTTGTGGTAATGCATTATACCCTGTGAAGTTTTGAAAAGATTAAAAAAAAAAATCTCAATGTGACAAGTGTGCTGCTTTTCTTTAGGAAAATTATATTTTTAAAAAAGCTTCATACTGATTTATTAAAAAGCTGAAACTCAATGTAAAGCTATCATTTACCACTACATGTATCTATCATTAGCTGTCATTTATCACCAGATCAAATAGTTTGACTGCAAATTGCATAAATATTGAATTGTTACTTGATAAATTCTTTTAATGAACTGTGCATAATTTTGCTAAAGGACTGCTTTCTGAATTCAACAAGACTACTTCTAGTTGAATATGAAACTAGTATTTTAAGAATCAAGCATCAATGCTTAGTTCAAATTGCAAATCTGGTGTTTAAATTATTTTATTTATCATCGCATACAAACTGCTGCCATCTTTCATGTCCGTCTTTAAAATAACACGGTCACAACATTTTAAGCAGGTCTTTATGGACTATAAAGGAGTTTTAAATAAATACATACTCCTCAAAATCTTACTCAAAATCAAATTTGTTAATAAAATATTACTTGTATAATGCTATCAAGGTCATCTTTGCACAAGTGTAAAATTTGCAGAGTTTATTGCTGCTTTAAGTATGTTGTGAAACAGCTAACATAACTTCAATAGCCATAAAAGTACATAGCACTTTACAGATTGGAAACTTGACAACATTGATGCCCTTACGTGTCTGAAATCCAAGGACCTGATACCGCAAAATCTTTACTCAGATATGTTGTTCCACTCATTTCAGGTTAGCTAGAGTACAGACTACTCACACTTATCTCTATCCAAATGCCTGTAAAGTTAACAGGGGTTTTCACTGCAGAGCTATGTTCTCCTATTTAATGTAACCAATCCACTTGAAAAAGACCTTTTAGACTCACTTTTGCATCTAATAGGAAAATATTAAGCTCGATTCAGTTCAGTGGAAGAATTTCTTCCACAAAATCACAGTCCAGGAACAAATACAAGTAAATATAAAATAATACCTCTGAGCTCTCACTGTTAGAAAAATCGGGCAAGGATTGGCATCTTCTCAGTAAACTTTTTGTCTATAGATAAAACAAAAAGCAAAATAAGTCTGAATTAGTCTGAGCCTAACATGAATAGAGCTTTCAGATACATTCTGCTTTTAAAAGCAGAGACTGCCAAAAATCGAGCTAATGTCCAAAGGAATCTGCATTTTCACCAAAAACACAACCACACCTTTGTCAGAGTGAAGTAAGGACTGCATTTGTCTGGATTTCTGGATGTCTTAAGCCCATTCCACTGCCAGATGTCCAAAAATCCGAGACACATTCAACATACTCATATAGATTAATGCTAAAGAGCAAGCACAGTCAGTGGACATACTCTATATATGTGCTGTAGATGCTCCAATCTCAGAGCACACTGTGAATAAGCCATACTGTTGAACACCTAGTGAATTTACTGCGTGTATGGAGATGTATTTCCAATGAACATATTTTAAGCCAAACACTTCTTAAAAGTGTCATATTCACTCTGCCTTAAATGACATTAGCCACACGCACATTCCTATCTTTGGAATCCCAGACAAAAAATTGGCCACAACATCACCACAACCATAATTTCCAGTGAGACTATTACTTCTTCCTGAGAATCTGTATGTGCTTCATCTGTTTTTAATTGTTGTTCTTAATAGACCTACTTGTACCATAGTAACAGTTTTCTTTTTCAGTAAAAGAGACATTCCCAATAGGTCCACAAGTAAACATGGAATAAAATATAATATTTTAGTAACTGCAGACTTTATTACTTCCAATTATTATATCTAATGGCTCAGTCAACCTGTAGGCAAAGGACTACCAGCACTTTTCATCTCTGCTGGACAACTCTAAATCAGTTTATAGTTACATATACAGCCATAACATCTTTGTGCCTGAAGTCAAACATGATACAAAATTCCAAATAGTTTTTAGCCAAACACAAAATAACTATTTTAAGTTGCTGCTGCCAGAGTATGTAGGAGATGTGCAAAGCTGATCGCAGAATTCTTCCTTTTTGACATACTAAATAATAAGATTCTCCTCATTATTTCTAGCCAGCTCCTGCAAGAAATGTTCAAACCAGCAAGTGTTCCTTTATCGTAATCAAATTTATCTTTTTGTTCCACTTCCATGTCATCTACAAGTCACATACTCTTGAATGACATATTCTCAGATAGCCATAGTCACTATTAAAAAAGCTTCTTTCAAGGACAAAAGCAAGCATGTCCTCCCCAGCATGTTTCACCTTCAAATAGGAAACACGTTATCCAACAGATCTTAACCGCTCTAATAGTCCAAAGCTGCAGATGGAGCCCTAAATTTTTATATAAAACAGTGCCTCCAAACAGTAAATTATACCTGGGGACTCAGCTGCAGTAATAATATGCTAGCCTCAGTTTGCCCATTTCTGGCTGCAAATACATCCACTCATGCATTAGTTTTCCTCAGTTCCAGCGGAGGTCTCGGCAACATCGCCAGCCAGTTCCAAGGTTTCAGTTGTGTTTTAGCTACCAGAACACTCAGTTGTACCTCAAATTCTCTGGCAGAGAAATATTTTCAGCTTACTTCCCATGGGATTTGGGTAAGCTTTTACCCACTTCCACTTCTCGGATCTATTCACTTGAAATAGCTAACCCTATGTAAACACATACAACTGAACACCACCATTAGGCACTTCAGGTTCTCTGTGGAGCCTACAGCTCTCATTTCCTACATTGCCTCCATGAACTAGATCAACGGTGTTTGAGACAGTCAGGATTCTGTAACTGGAAAGACGCACACTGCAGCTTAGAACCACACTTCAATCTTTCACTTGCAAATCACCTGCATAGAATTGTTTGCCTATCCTTTAATATTACATTCAGTTAAATTCTAGGTAAAAAAAAATTCACACACTTGGAAACATCTTTTTCCCCCTATTCTGCTTCTTGACTCTTGCAGTTTTTTATATGTCTGGCCATAGTGGAACATCCAGTAAGCCGCTCCACTGAGATGTCATATTACTCAAAGCCTGTCACAGGCCCGCCCCTAAATCATCACCTAATGCTATAATAATGCAAAATAAGAAGCATCTTTAAAATATGCAGTGACTCTTTCCAAGCACAGTCTCAAGTTTCAAAAAATGAGATTTAGCAATTTCTAACTATTAAAAAATGAACAAATATCTAACATAAAACTGTTTCTAGAAGTCAGCAACATAAAAATATTTCATCTTATGACTAGATCTTCAAACTATGAATTGTTTTGCTAATCTTTAGTGTTACATTAAAAAAAATTGTACCGTAATACACACCAGTCCATAATCATAGAAATCATGACCATCTTGCTCAGCTTCTAACTCTTCTTCATGATCAGTGAAAAAGTCTTCAAATACAACATCCTCAATCACATTGCTCTGAAATATTAATATAGTTGCATATTTGAATACGTTCCATACTATTATTTTAGTCAGCTACAGAAAACATAGTAACAGATAAATATATAAAGCCTATAATGTATTTGAGCTAAAGATTTATGACAATCAAGACCAACATCACAGAAGCCATTTATCCTAGGCTTCTGATGGAGCATGTTCGTTAATGTGATCAAGAATTACATGGTGCAAAAGGGGCAGAGACCTGAGGAAACTGTCTCTAAGGTTTTTTTCTTTAGCTTTGGTAATTTATGTCAGGTCGCAGCAGTCCATATAGTAACAAGAACACAGCTCTCCATTTGGTCATAGTAAGGCTAGGAGATGGGGAACTATGTCAAATTTATTCCTGCTATCAATTAATCCATGCATAAGTGTGCTTTATCTCTTGCACAGGAGTGTGAACTGGTCACGAAATGCTAGTTTCTCTGTAACCTTTGCCATATGAAGGTGCAGAGTGCTATAAATACGGGCATAAAATAGGCATGCCCTTTTACATAAACAGCTCATCCCTCGCAATAATGTAATCACAGTGGAGATTTTACATTCAAAACATTTCAAAACTCAAAAACATTGGCATTTTCTAAAATAGACTTTGTTAAATATATGAAATATTTTATTACATTTTAATAGAAATCCCTGCCAGCATAGCATAGCAGAAGAAAAAGTATGCAAAAGTAGCTTTCAACATAAATGTAAATACATTAAGCAAGATAATATAATAGCAAGTGGTAATTAAGAATAATTACTACCAGGAACTTTATTATTGTAGAAGATTAAACAATACTATTCAGTACTTATTATTAGAAATTGTACAATGACTTATATACCATGCTTAAAATATACAGAAGTGTTAATAAGATAGCAGCATAAAACACAACTATTACAGTTAACAAATATAATGTTAGAAAAAGACGTATATTTCTGTAAAAGATGGGAACACTAAAAATACATTTAAAATACTTACCTCATATGTAGGAAATAAAATTTCCTGTAATGAAGAAATTGGAGCAGAGAATTTTGGTGGAGCTGGAGCCCAAAACATTTTTAAAGCTTCTGGATAAATGGAAACCTTCAAAACAAATACAATTCAGTTATCAAATAACATAAACCCAGTTTATAAATGTCTGTACTGAACCTGAACTATTAGGTGATAAAATGCTGTTTTCTGCTAAAAATGATTTTGTCAAGAACAACCCTACCAAATACAATGAAATCCTGAGACATAGAGGGCTCCACAGCCTGAATGAACTACCTGTTTTGCTCTTTTAGTGTTTTTGTTTATTATTAATTAGCACATTAGCATATTTTATTACTTCAGAGAAGGAATTAAGAACTGCGACATGAGGTTTCAGAACAACACTCCCCATTGATGAAAAATTCCATATACATTTTTCTATTGCATATTGTCAAGTGTTGAAAAATCAGCAGAACTTCATTTCCAAGGTGTTCTGTTCTTTTGTTGCATGACACAATCAAAAAAAACCCCACTTCCCCCCCCCCTGGATTTTGTGTCATTTGTAGGATTGTGCACATACAGCACACGTTTATTAAAGTTATTTCTTACTTTCTCTCCTAACAGTTGCAGTTGTGGCTTTTTAAGACAATATTCAGCTACTTTTTGGCATTCAGTTAGACTTTTTGATGTATGAGGGGGAAGAAAGGGAATCCCATCTGTCCGATTATTCTGGAATTGCTCTGAAATAGGAACTCCTTCATAACAAATTCTGCAGCAACATAAAAGATTAATAAATTACTCTGATTATGTCAGGTATTAACAGCACAGAAATAGCTTAGTTGTTAAAGACAAAGAAAAGTAAGTAAAATTTAAATCAAACTAGAAATAAATTATGAATAAAACTTTTTTTCTAAACTACAGATTGAAATTACTTAATATACAATGGAAACCTGGTGCCAAACTTGTAATTTTTGTAGTCACACACCAAGTAATTTTAAAACGACTTTCATGATCAGGTCCATGGTGTATATTATAGAAGTCACAAGAAAAATATAACACTAAGTTCTAAATTAGTAAGAAATGCATTACATGCATAACTTCATGCATGGCAAATACACCACTCAAGTGCTGTGCTTACAGTCTGATATACTTAAATGCCAAAGAGAACTGATTTCAGCAGGAATGTCTGGCTGGTTTTGAACAGCACCTTATGTGATTACTTGGGAATCGGATTCTGATTATTTTTTGTTTGCCCTTTTTTTAAATATATCTACCTATGGCAAACACCTCACAAAAGGAATATTTCACTTTAGAAAGTTGTAGTTTTAAGTAATTAAGTAATCCAAATTTCCTACGTATCTACAGTTTCAATTTCCAAAAACAGTAAACACTTTTACACAACAGTAACTCATAAGTATGTTTATACATGCATGTGCATATATAAATATATATAAAATCCTGTAATAACTGTCCTACCTCTATTTCCTTTGTTCCTGGCACCTCTAAAGAGAAATCCAGATCTGAAGAAATTAAGATCTGAAGGATCTATTACTACTACCAAGCTGGTAAAACTATTTTAGAAATTAGTAGCAACAACTATTAACATTTACCACTTAAACAGATATTTTTCAGGATTTATATATAAAATTATAATGAATATTTTTATTTAAAAGAAAGTAGAAGTTATTTATATTTTTTGCTATTCTTCTTGTAGCTTGTTTTATAGTACAATAATTACTTAAGTTCTCACTTACATAGTTCTTGCTGTACTAGCAATTACAAGCACAGAATGTAATAAGTGGTGATATATGTAATATATATACAAAAGAACAAGAAAAAACACTCAATTTCATATATTCAGGTATCCATATATGTATGTAAATTAAAATGCACATTACGTGGAACACTTGACTTGTCTCAACACATTGGCACATTGGCATATGCCAACACTGACATCTACTGGTGTTAGTCAGGTTTGGGGTAGTTTTTCTGCAAACACTAAATAATGAAGTTTCTTTGTGCATTCACGGAACTAAAGTGTGTAACTTCTATTACTTGCAATTTCACTGCCAGACGTATATCTGTTATAGTGGACTTGATTCTCATTTATGCTAATTGCAATGTATTTCCATTTTAAGACCTATTTAAATTAACAGGATACTGTGCAAACGGGGGGGTCTCAACATAACTGAGAACCATTTGATTTAGCAAACAAAATGCCTTCTGAAGTACATTTGGACGTTAAAAAAGAATCCTTGAAATGTAGCGCAAGTCCAGAAGTTGTAGTTCTTACACAGAGAGAAAGATTATAGATCTGGGAGTAGTTCTTGAACTCTTTCTGGAATGTTCCTTTCTTCAAGTGGAAGCTTTGACAAAAGACCTATTTCTTAAAGGGAAGAAAAACAAGAGCTGAAAACCTAACTTTTGACAAGTGTTTGGCCTTCCTAGTTTTTCTTTACATCTAAGTATTTGGTGGTTCTGACTCTTCAAGGTGGGTGTCTGCATAAAAGGAATGTCAAGTGAAGTTATACAAGATACAAAAAGGCATAAACCAATCAAAATATTCCTTAGCATTTGGCGGTTAAAAGTGTTTTAAGTGAACAACATAAAAAGAGCTGTCCACTTTTGTCATAAATAGTTTTCAATTCAAGGAGTTTATAGTAGGTAATCAGCTGTGAGATGATATGAAACAACATTCAGACAACATTCAAACAACATTTTCGGAGAGAAGCACCATGGAGGAAAGCTCCAAGTAATAATAATACTGATCAAATAATATTCTGTTTCCATCTGCTGGTAAAAAACTGTAAAATCAGAATGTCTCAGGGAGATGCAGACATTCCTGCATGCAGGAATCTTAACAAACATAACATGAAGCTACAAATCCCATTAAAATTTTGTAGGATATCTGCCAGGAACAGGTTTGACTATCCATATATAACCTTCATGAAAATATATTTAGTTTAATACTTGTCTTCATGGCTAAAAAAGTAGCTTTTTTAACTCTCAGATAACTGATGCCTGTAGAGCATGCCAAGATTCAACACGAGAGCAAAAGCAAGGCACCTTTGCTGTCTGATGAAATAAACTTAATACAGTCAATCCCAGGAGAGAGTTGTAGCTGACCTTGGGAAGTTTACATCTGGATAAATTGATACACCCTGCTCCGCAAGATGTGTTTTGCTGATGTGAATGAGAAGTTGTATATATTTTTAAGCCTGTGGATATTTTTCATAGCAAAGACAAGACTTTAAAGCAAGAAAATTGTTGCTTTCTTGATCTGATCTATCATAAAATCCTACCACTGTAGGCTTCTTTGGACTTTGTTACAGTCAAACAAGATTCTTTCAGAGAAGAACTCAGAACTAGTACAAAAAAAAATAAAGATAGCTCTATTGCTATTTAAACGGTTGACAAAGTCATTTGAATTTTACTATCCGCTACACAGAAATCATGCTTACCCCCACATAGATCAATTGCATTTGTGAAATTAGCTCAGTGCGCGGAATTGGTCAGTAATGAAATGTGAACAGCTTAAACGGACCTAAATTAGTGCCAGGTAAATGATACCTTTGACCTTCAAGGCTCTCATAAGGCAACCAGTTTTAAAAATTAAAACCAGAAGATGATGGTAGATGGTGCCACTAGATGGCAGTGCTCCAAAGAATTCAGTTTTCTAGATTTCGAGGATTAAACGAATTCAGCAAGGAATTTTGGTATGGGCTTCTTTTTAAACTTTAATTCTCTTCATCTCTGGGAAATGTAGTTCTCAATGTAAAAATTTCTTCCCAAAAATTTCTACTGATTCATAAAACTCAGACTCACCCTCAATTTCCTCAACCTGTTGGCTACTTCTTGAAAACCAAACCATTTTCTTCAAATCCTGTCCTCCATAGCTTCTACAATGCATCTCTCCTAGTTCCACTCCCATCTAACTCCTTCAACTTCCTGGGGTCTGTCCTCTACTCTCTTCTTCCTCTACTCTATGTCTAGTAATGTTCTAGTCAAAGACCATGTACAGGTTCCCTCTCCATGGTAATGAATCAGAGCGTGATTCATCACTCTGTTCTGCACCAACAAAAATATCAGATGATCTTCCTCTTAGGGATGCCAAGCTGCCAGTGCTAGCCCAGCAAGGCTGAAAGATAAGGATCTTATGAGCCTTTCCCTTTTCAAACTTCATGGCCTCCCCACTACTTTCTTCATCGCTATGGCTAGCATCCCATCATTCACACAGGCTCAGAACACAGGTATCATTCACAATATTCTAAAATTAAAGTCTTTTTTAAATCTTTCTACAAAGCTAAAGTCTGGTATCTAATTTCATATCTCTCTTGCTGCAGCATCCGTGACTCCATCACTGTCTTCCTAAGCTTGGGTTTTTTTCCTTTTTGAACATCTTTTTGCCCACCCTCGTGCTGCCTCTCACGTCTGAGAAAAGCTCACTACAACCATCAATTTATTCTCTCAGAATTTCCTTAAATCCTCTTCCACCATGACCTGCAAAACAGCTGGGCTACTGGTATGCTGAAACCCCTGCTTACAATACTGATCAGTGTCCTTATTCTCATTGAGTCCTTATATTCTCTGTCCAACAGACAGAAAATGCTACTGAATCAAAAACAAACACTCCAATTACAGCCATGAACGACACTCTCATGCTACCCAAATTCCTGACAGAAGCAGAAGCTCACAAAAACCAAAAGGAAACATCAGGGCCTTATCCTGTACCCTGAAATAATGCCATCCTTGATGGCTAGGGTAATCTTGACTACATCAAAAGAATTCAATGACTAAAAACTTTCATAAAGCAATTTATGGATTCATATTTTAAGGTCAGAGAGAAGCATCATGATTACCCAACCTGACCTTCTAAATAATACAGATAATAAAATTTCATCAGTATTCCTGCATCAAGCTCACAATTTGCTGGGCGAAACTCAGGATATAACTCAGAAAGAAATCCAGTTTTGATTTAAAGGCTGTAAATAATGGATAATTTCAGAAGCTGCTACTTACATTGAAATCTTATAGCTACTGTCAATTTGTCTAGACTGAAACCTCAACTACTGGGTCTGTTGTGTTTTTGTTTAGCAAACCCTCTTGCATCAGAAACTATACCATGCAGGTAACATACTCAAACCAACACTATATCCCTTGTGTAAAACCAACATAATGATCTTTTAAAATGTCTTAATACAGAACTGGTATTCAAGAAAAAGAGAGATCGCATACAGGAATCGATACTTCTGCTTGCTCCCCTAGAATGGTACCTGGAACAGTCTGTTAAGTGCATTAAGTGCACAGCTTTCTTACAAACCTTCATACGGAAGAAGAATCACAGATTTAGCCAACAGGAAATCTGCTGCCCCTCTCTGGAACTTAGATTTTTCAGAGGCTGCAGGCAGAAATTTCCCTCCATTTCAAATCCAGAACATGCAACCCTCTTCTAAGGGTGGATGCATCTATTCTTTCAAGGAAGGGCAAGGTGATTTTTTTTTTTCTTTTATAAAACATGAAAAAAGCAGAGTGGTGATTTCCACCTCTTTATGATAATTCATTATTGAAGCAGGAGGAGCCAGGAAATGAGAATTCATTGCTTATCCGAGGATTCAAACCTCACTCACCATTAGATTATTTGGCCAATCTGGGTACAGGAAGTTGTAGTGTTGAGCAGAAAAGAATGCAAAAGTCATGCAGCCAAGAGAAAGAACAAGTGGCGACATGACTATCTCAGTTGTTAGAGCACTTACCTGGAACAGAAAAGCTCTGTATAATATTTCTAATCCCAAAACTTTTTTTCTATATTATTGCTAATGTCTCGCCTCCTTTATTTTAAGGTAAACATGTTTAATTTAAAGTTCAGAGAGTATTACACAGCCATCTTCTGTTGCTTATCTTTCAAGACTGTAAAGCTCCTTTCAGAGTTACTGCTTTTCAGGATACAATCTCCCCTCCTACAAAGGATGACCCTAATTCCCTATTCTTATCCTTATAACCTTGCATTTGGCTGCACTAAAACGCGTGTTTTTCAAGTGAGCCCAAGTTAACAAGCTACACAAATTGCCCTGTAAAACTGACCTAGCCTTATCCTTATTTACCACTCTACCATTCTTTAGATCACTACAGACTTTATGAGCAATAATTTTATATTTCTGGAGCTGGTGATACACAGAAACTATAAGTAGCAAACTGCCAGTCTGAAAAACCATCAGGAAAAACTTGAGAGTATTAAGGCTCCAATTCTGAACTTTTTGACATTACTATATGAACTAGAAAGGCACAAAAAAGCAAAAGTGTAACCGAAGTAATAAGCAATGAAAAAAGAACATGCTTCATATTCATTCATATGCACATTATTTTAGTGCAAAACACGTCCAAAAAAAACCAAATTAAAAACCCAAAGATTTAGGAATTCACTACCACTAAATATAAAAATTGGTAATATAATAACATGATAAAACGGAGTAGGCTTATTCCAAAATCCATTCACATTTCCTGACTACTTCTTATAGAACAATTTTTTTGACAGATCTCTTTTTACATGCTGCATCAACCTCAGAAAAATTAACTATTATGCATTTTGTTCTACTTCAGCTCCTCATTCATTAAAGATGCAGGATCCTGCAGTTATCACATGACTACCTTTTACATACGCAATGAATACTTTTGACTACAAGTTTATGTAGGTCCCAGTTCTGTATGTGCTTAACTTTGTGCATGTGTTGAACTCAACAGAACTACACTCAATTAAAGTTATGCTTGTTCCTAAGTGCTTGTAGAATCAGGATTGAGGTAAGATTGTCTCTGTGATAAAGGGCTAGTGGGTGTGCACTTTAAACCTTTTACTATTGCAGTATTTTACATTCACAGAAAGCCTACTCTATTTGCTCAGTATTTCTTCTTATTTCAATGGGACCTCTCATGTGAGTAGAATGAAGTATAAAAATTCATATATTTTTAACGTAAATTGTGACACATAACTTAAAATGTCTACAAAATGCAATTTATTTTTAAAAACAAACAATATATTTTACATTCTAAGCAAGATACAAGCCTTTTAGTACTCTTGTTCGAATTATTTTAAAACAAATCTACCAAATAAGGCAATTTTTTTCAAATCTTTTTCTTTGCCACTTCTTTGAAACTACTAAATACTGAGACACCATGAAAGTTATTTCTCAACATATAATCCTTTAAATTACAAAATTAATTAAATCATAGCAACTCTGAAAATAAGTAAGTTCATACCTTTTCCTTTCAGCTTGCTCTTTCAAATAAATATATTTGGAATACATTGCTTCTTCCTCCTTATTGTCCATGTCCTCTGCTGTAAATAAGATATTGTGACCTCTTCTGTCTAAAGTATGATAAACTCGAGAAACCAGTTGTAAATAAGGAGGCAATATAAAACTAGGAAAAGCGGTACATAGACGATGAATGCTTGGATAATGTTGACCTCTAGAAAGGAAAACAAAGAAATCAAGAATCTTAATATCCATTCTCTATATTCTAAAGTAGAATATCAAGTTTATCAAATACTACATCATGACATACATCAGACCATAGGATATAAATTGCTAGCATAAATACTTAGCATAAAGTGCCTGGTAATTTCTACTAGAAGTAGAGATATCATATTATTTAGAAAAGAAAAACAGGTAAAAGCTAAAATGTTGGTAATAATTTTAAAGTAAAAAATAAGTGCAGTAGTCACAATTTTACTTTCCCAACTTAAGTAGAGCTTTCACTTGCTGCACTGAAAACTTAAATCAAGTAGTGCAGACTTACAGCTTAAATTGGGTATGTGAATAAATGTTATGTTAAAATGTTACATATACATTCATCTGCAAACTCTCTCCCATGACAGAGTATCTTGTAAATACCGTTAAAACTTTGAATTAGTTTTATGATATGCTATCACTTGAACTTCTTCCTAGCTTTTCAATTCGGCTGTTGATTTTAGAGGAAACGCTGGGTCTTTGACTATCTTTGAAAAGTTAATAACTAGAAAATTCTACCATTTAACCCTCCAATCTAAGTTGTACTGAAGGTGATGAAAGTCTATGGACTTCCACAGGCCATGGATCAAATTCTAAAAACAGTCTCCGGCTACTGTATGAACTCCACAAAGTTAATAAATGTCTAACATGCAGACAGTTACAATGTGAAGAGCAGTATATGGAAAACGTCTGAGATGTAAAAAACTCAGAAATGGCTCCTCAAATATATGCTACTTTCAATTAAAGTTCATAAGTCCCTTCATATTTTAAGAGAAAATCCCAAATGAAAATGGTTAAAATTCCACTTTGAAATTACACTGAATAGTTTTCAGGTTTAACTATTTTTCTGAGGTTCTCCTGAGACAATGACACTTTCAACAACCTGGATTTTGTTTTACTGAGAACTACGCCTTATGTTATAAACAGATATTACAAAGGAGAAATCAGCAAGAACTACAAAATGAAGTAAGGAAAAACACAACATTGATTTATCATGCAATACATATTCAAGTTACAAAAATAGTATTTTGTATTTGCTTACATTTTCTGAAAAATAATGACAGCAAAAAAGTAAAGATAAAAATCACACATGTAAAGAAAAAAAACACGAAAATCAGTGTAATAACACAGAAATTTGACTCACAATCAAAAAATTATCACATCAAGTATATACCAGGTATATCTCTGTTACATTAATATAGTTTGAATCCCTAAGTTTATAGGCACATGACAACCCGAGGAGTGTCAGTAAGTCTTTTTATTTTAATTAAAACTGCTCAAAATAATTTTTTTCAACCCATACAACTTTAATATATAGAAAAGAGCCTAGTTACTTTATGCTTCAACAAGACAGTTTCACCAGATCTTACAATCCAAAGTCTCTGCTGAAATCAGTGGCATTTTTGCCTGAATGAGAACAGCGTCAAGGTTATGAAATAAAATGTGAAATTCAAACATAAAAATGAAATATCCATTGAAAAGCAACTCAATCACACAATACATGAGTGATTAGGATTTAAAGCATGCTTACAGCAACCCCATTTAACGCAAAGGATAATTTTTTTTAACTAATTGAATACATTTACAGCATAAATGGAAATAAGTAACTGTTTTGGAGTGTGAAATCAGAGATCAGTGCTTTAATAAGTAGATCACATTAATTTAAAATTAGAAAGAAATATTCCTCACTGCTTTTTGAACTCGATAGAGAGTATACAATCTTCATAAATGTTTATAGTAGTTTACCTCAGGATGCTCTAACACAGTTCACTTTCTCCGCAATGCAATTACCACACAGTTAAAAAAAATAAAAATAGATGGCAAACAGTTTAACTTTGAACTTACAACATTTGGAGCGATTTCGATGGCAGGCAAAATAATTTTAAAATTCTCTAGGAACTTTTTTCTAAGTTTTGTCATTTATTTTAAATAAATAAAAACAATTTGAATGTTATTTTAATTGCATTATCATTACTGCTCTTGTATAGAAGTTTATAATTTCATTGAATGAACTAACTGAATGCTTTATCAATGTAAACTGAAATATTTGGGGCATGCTGCAGGTAAAGGTGAATGTTTTTACAGCACACGCTCTTCTAAAACAGACTATTTATCATTCTTTGAAAAAGGGGACGTGAAAAAACAATACTATGTGTGTGGCCTACATTACCTTCACTTAATGCACTAAATACGGGTTTTTTAGAAAATCGTGCAGTTTCTGCACCATTGATAATCTGACAGTAAGTATTTATTGAAGGTAAAACACTCATTGTCTGTTGACACTATTTGTTTTAATATATAATCTTGCTAACCAAATGATCTTTAAGCAATGCAGATAAGCAATGGCATGCAAAGGGTCACTTAAATGCCAATTTGACTGTTTCATAAACTTAAGCATTCTTTTCCCATGACTATTCTCAGCTACTTAATTGAAAGTATTATCCATTTACAAACTTTAGGCCTGCCATAAAAAGGCTCTCTTCTGTATCCAATAGACCTTTCAGGACCCTAAGAACAACAAAAGCTAATAATTAAAGCTGCTTTTTTTTTTCCCCCTTTTCTCAATAGAGAAGTGAAGAAGCAACCTATGGTACATCTAAACAAAGCTACCTATAAAGATCTTATTAGCAGTGAAGACCATAAAACTGAAGAGTCTCACTTGACATGGGACGGACAGGATCAGTTCAATTAGGATACAGTCTGTACTACTTTTGTAACCTGCACTCCTACTACAGAATGACAGATACAACCTATGACAAGAGCAAGGTAATAAGCAGTTGTCCTTAAATTACAGCTCTCTATGTAAAATCTCCTGAATTTCAGACAAGCACTGACTGTAATACAAATTCAAGTTAATGAATTTTTAATACATCTTCTCTATTTAAAGATGATGACTTACAGCTGGCATTGCTTATATTAAATTTGTGGTATTTTCCATTGTTTGTTTTTAATTATTTTGATTAGATTATGCTTGGAATTGTATGGACAAATTCAACCCCCACATAAGCAACTTCAGTTTCTGCTGCAGTCAAGAGAAGTTTCATCTGCGTACAGCAGGACTGAATAGGCCCTCTGGATTTTAAAAAACATAAATCAGAACTATTTCAAGGAGATACATAGCAAATTAAAACTAGAAATACCAAACTAAACTTGATAATTTAGATAAGAAATTGCAAGTGTTCCGATCCAAATTTGGGGGGATGGCATTATTTCTTCTCCAAACTTAGCTGTCATGCTATGCACTAATAACAATATATTTTCACTATTTTTCTTATAATAATGAAATAAGATTTAAACATTACTTGACATTTGAAGCCTGAGGAGGCAAGGATTGTTGCAAGTTGTGTTCCTCTTGTAGCTTTTTCTGAACTTCATCTGGTTTAATTTTTGATATTGCTTTTCCTTCCACCTGGAGCACATCCGAGGATGGAGCCTAAAATGTTCATGAACAGAAGATAAACACAGTGTTACAAACTGATAAGTTATATGGATATTTTCACACCCACTCTGGAGTAGAACAAGGAGCAATGGCACACAAGCAACTCTGACCATCAGAAAACACAATTCAATTAAACTAGAGTAGTTTAGAACTGCTGTCACTATGCAGATCACAGCAGCGCCCACAGCTATTTAGGATATAGAATAAGCAGGAAAATGTGATAAAACAAAATTTCCAATGCACCCTACTTAAATTGCATTTCTGAATAGTGTATAAGATAAGTGTATTTCAATACATTACAAAGAGAATAATTAAAAGAGCATCAAAATTATAATATTAATATTCAGAACTATTAAACTTAGAAGAGCACGAACATATCTAAAACCTGTATTTTTAAGCAAATTCAAACAGATACACATAGTTTAAAGAATGATGTTTTTAGAAAAGTTTCTTCAAGGTTATGTTTATTCAATACAGGAACTTCAGCAGGAATACAGATATAAGGAATTCCTACTGTTTCCACCCACAGCTGCTCATTCCTATTTCTTAGAGCACCACCTGCTTAGCTGTGCCAAAAATTGTTTTTTCACACTGCAAAATAGATCGGATAACGGATCCATGTTGAAAAAAATAGTAAAAAAAAAAGTGTGGAGGGAAGGCAGAAATTAATCTAGACCTCTGATTCCCTTTGTGGAGTGTCCCCACATAGAAATTTTGTTGGGGACAGCTCACTGTAATCCAGGAGCAAAAGCAAGCAGCAAGGAAAAGGAATTACTGAAGTCATCATTGCTGCCAAAGTGTCTGCATCTGCTTCATAAAACTCAGCTTCAGAATCTATACCCTTGTGCTGCTTTTTCCACGTTGTGATGACCTCCAGAGGTCCCTTCCAACCTCAACCATTCCACAATTCTGTTTCCTGCAAAGTGTTAAACATCTTCCTAAAACAGACCAGCAGTGCCATCAATAAAAAGGATTCTTCTGAACTCCACTTAAAAGCTTGCATACATAACACAACAAAACAGGTTCAAGAAAAGAAAGAGGTATAATCATAGCTTAACAAGGACAGACAGAAACAGAACAACACAGTGGGGAAAACAAATTTTAAAGTGCTTTGTCTTGAAAAAATTTTCTCTCTCAATACGAAAAGTAAGTCCACTTTTTTGCCCAGCTCTTCCTGATACACCATGGTAATTACTTCTGTAAGGCTGGCTAGCTTAGTTTATAGGAACCCAAAGAATACAATTGTTGTGACCAAATGCCTTTCTAATTAAAATTTTCAGTCACATATCTCATTAAATGAATCACAAAAGCATAGGATTTTACTCTTCTTTGTCCACTCACGTTTTATTTATCCAGAATATAACTGGGCACAATGTCTATGTCTACTGATAACTTCAGCAGTATTTAAGTTCTTAGAAGACATCACTGCATGAAAAAATTATGGAAGTTTATAATTCATAAACAAGTTATTAATCACCAAGTAAAAGATACTGAGAACTGTAGAAGATACCTAAATGAGTCACTACCTTCTGAAAAGCCTTATTCAAAATTAAAATGGTTTCATATATTGTTAGTTTATTTTTGACTGATAACTTCAGCAGTATTTAAGTTCTTAGAAGACATCACTGCATGAAAAAATTATGGAAGTTTATAATTCATAAACAAGTTATTAATCACCAAGTAAAAGATACTGAGAACTGTAGAAGATACCTAAATGAGTCACTACCTTCTGAAAAGCCTTATTCAAAATTAAAATGGTTTCATATATTGTTAGTTTATTTTTGAAACCAACACCGCTGTTTATATCAGCATATACATGGAAAAAATATGAAGAACCAAGTCAGATATTTGATGTAACAGAGAAACTGGAAGTCAATCAAAATTTTACATAGAGAAAATAGACTAACAAAAATAAGTAATATGTCTACCTGAAAATGTATCATTAAAATGAGCCAAACATAAGACTATGATTTTTGCTTTTGCATGTCAGGTAAATGTTTCTGCCATGATCTCTTGTCCAATTTAAAGAAAAAAAAAAAATAACCTGATTGAATGCATTGCCATTACCAGCTTTTGGAATGCCCAGATACTCAAATAATTTGAAAAAAATGCCATGTAAGTGATATCCAAAGTAACAGAAGATATTCAACATTTGTCAGTGTCTTAGACACCAATACGGCTAACGAAAACCTCCAAAACTAAAATTACAGCAGCTACTATTTTACAGTCATAAGCCAAAGTTCTGTGATCCCGTCGTTTTTGTGAAACAGGTCATGAAGGGGGACTTCAACACATTCTTGTTAATGAATTATGGAGACTATACTAAGTAGAGGGGGGTTCCTTTAAGCCTGAAATCAAAGAACATGATATTGTTACTTATTGTTAACACACTTACTGTTAGATGGACATTTTAATTGTATATAATCTCATATTTTATGTCTTTTTCCTTGTAGAAATACCAGTGAACTAACAACTTTTTAATCAAAATATTTATGTAATTCAGTTACAGATGTAACATAAAATTACAGTAACTAAAGCAAATATCTGCATTTTTTCCTCTGACTGCTTTGTGTATAGCCAAATTTGCAAGCTCATCTGCACAATCAACCAATTTATCTTGAAATTGCATGGGCCCTGCAGCCCACTAAGCAAAGCAAAATAATTTCAAAAATAAGATGTCACAAAAACATGCCAATGAATAGTGTTCTATAGAAATACTAATATCCAGTACACTGCCATTACTCTGTATAGAAATAGTTCTGCTAAGGATGCGATAGAGCATTTAGCTAACACATATGAGTTCTTAAAACCTTTTCTCTTTCTTTTTTCTAAAGTTTTGTCTCCATTATTTTTTCCGTGTATAAAACTGAAAGCATGCACTTTCGAATTAAATAATATATTTAAATTATGTAGCACTTGTGTTAAATAGAACCAAATGTATGTTATCTTTTCAGGTGCCAATCTTGCAAACTACTTTGTGTTGTAAGATCACTGAACACACACTGATGGGTGTTGTTGCAACAATACCACCAGTGCATTACAGAAGTGGCATGCTGCCCAAAATAATACTGTCTAAAAAACATCATCACAGTACCCCAGTACTGTTTAAATAACTGGGAAACTATTCTGTTGGCAAATATTATATAATTTAGAAGTAATAAATAATCTAACTATATTCTTGAATATTATAAAAATTACCATCAGTGACATTGTACTGTGTATTGTTTACACATCATTTAGCATATTTGGTTTAGTAACCAACAGATCAACTGATGTTGCAGAGTATACTCTTAAAACTACCTGCAAACATCATTATTAATATTAATTACATAAAACATTATAGCCAAGTACAGATGGCACATGAATTCAGTTACTGAAGGATTAGAAACATTTCTGACCTATAAACAGACAAATATTGTAAGGAAAAATTAAAACCAATATTTTTTCTAATTTAGCAGAATTTTTAAGAAGTAATATAATTTCATTTTCATCCATTCTGTTCAACAGAAGAACTGTAACAGAAATAATTTTGCTACCACAAATGTTGCTAGGAAATATGAATCCTTAGCTGTAGAAGAATGCCTGCCAACTGGAACTGCTCAGGCCAGCATCACCAAGTCACTTAGGGCTCTACTTCATGTCCACTGTAGCCCCATTGCAGAATGCAGTGCCAGGACTGATGGGGAGTTTCTGTTGTCTCCCTGTGACTCACTCCCAGAGCTCCCTGTCCCTTAGCTCTTCAGGGTAAGCTGTGCACATCTTTGGTTCTTGGCTATCCTAAAATTGGTCAGGAAAGTTGATTGCTAATGCTCTGGAACTCTAGGCACGTGCCTACCTCTCTCTATCCCTTTCTCCATGCAGCTTGAAGAGACACAATCGCGGCCAAACTACAGTCAGTGGGAGGAGCAGAAGAACCAGCTGAAGCAAAGACCTTAGACATTCAGAAGGTTTCTCATTTTGACTAGACCTCTGCCTTATGATGACTAGACCTTGAAACAACATACTTGCAAATATTGGGCCATCAACAAGCATCCCACATGTGTGTTTCTCATCCTTTTTTCATTTTGGTCTCTTTATCTCCTTTTCAACACCTGTATCTGTCTTCCCATGTAGCTTATCCAACCTTGTGTTCATCTCATTTATTTAAGTTTAGGCCAAGGCTACCTGGTATCTATGCACATAACACTGCCTACTGGAAACACATCCCATTCTTGGTTGTCCTTCTCATTATACCATTGTAAACATAATAGTGTTATTCTGTTTTACAATAAGCATATATAATAACTTTAAGGCAAAGTAATCATTTACATCGAAGCTGCAGGAGCAACGAGGTTAGGGTTTTATTTTAGCATCTAGTTATAGCCTTGAAATACCAGAATGCTAGAAACCGACAACATATGGGAAAAGACATTATTTGGCCTTAGCAACAAATTTGTCCTCTGTGGTACTGTCTCTATAAACTTGATACATTCTCTATTAAAAATCTAAGCTTTATAGAGTTGATATCCTAATGACAGTTTTTGTCGTGTGTGAAATATCACAAAACCAAAAGGATATTGAGCATTATGCCATTTTCCAGGAAGGCATCCACTTGTTAAATGTAGATTAGGATTCTATTTATACGTTGTTTCATTTGTAATCTTCTTTCCAATCTCATAAAGAAAAGCCTAACCCAACATCTGACCGAATGAACCTTAATTTGTTTTTTCCTCTAACCTTAAGCTGCAAGACCAGTATGAAGACCTGTTTTATAGAAAATCTTCTTTTAAAGGGCAGGTGGTAAGGAAACAGCTTGCAGTCTCTGTATGCTCTAAAGCACCAAAACCTTAAGCATGGGAAAACTAATACTATCTCACAATAGTACTAAACCTGCTTACCTGCTTCACCTGCTTATTATATGTTAACAGCTCATCTTTAGGCCGAGATTCATTTTCTGCTGCTTGAGATTCTTTCTGAACAACTGGTGTCTTCTGGTGTCTTCTGGGGGGGGGGGAGAGGGCGGGGAAATCAGTGTAGAAGGTGAATGTACAAATTTTTTTTAAAACACTTTTGTGCTCCCTGACAGGTAATTCAGTACAATATTTATTACATGCAATTATTCTTCCATCATCCATGCATTTTATCAAGCACCTAGAACACTGTATCAATTTTATCTTAAGTCAAATATTTCCTCAACAGCTAACTAGATTTCCAAAAATAAATATAGTAATAGGCAAAGGACCTACAATGATTAACACTAAATAATAATATTTATAGAGATTTCTTATCAAAGATCTGGTCTGCTTCTTCTACAAATTGCACTTATAAGAAGAAATTGCAAAATGTAAGAAGAAACATACATCAGAAATTTATATCAAGAGATCTATGATCCTTTAAAGCAAATAAATCATTAATGCCTCTAAACATTAAGCAATCCCCCAAACGTATCTAAGTTTAAACATTTAAATTTTAAAAACAGTTTGAATCAAAGGCATAGAATGATGAGCACTAATATATATGAATATAGATGAATGTCTTACAATTCCATTGCCCTAATCAGCATGGTACTTAATAAAAGCAAAATTCTTTACATCCAGCAGTTGGAGAACCAAACCCCATAAGAAAAGGAATGAACAAGAGACACAAAAGGGAAAGAGAGAAAAATAAAGGTATACTTGTGATTCATGAAGTACCAAAATGTTTTCAAGGACTATTTCATTTCCTTCCCAGTTTTATCAGTTTAAAATATGAACTACCTATCTTAACAACTCTGCAAGCAAATAGAAGCACTATTAACTTATTATATTTTAACATTCCTAGATAATGCAGAATGTTACCAGGCTTGCTTGGTGAAAACTTGGCAGGACTTGAGAGTCGGTTTTTATTTCCTCATGTTCAATTGGTGCCTGTTGTATAAGCAAGAGAAGAAAACTAGTGTCAAACAAGAATGCTAAAAAAAAATTATATTATTCGTACTACCTTACAGAACAAAACAACGTCAAAACAATATATATGCATAAATTAAAGTCTGGGTCTGCATTACACAAATTAGTTTGAAAGCAACATGTACATTCAGAGACAAATGATCTTAGGCTCATCTTTTGCAAACATTTACACACATGCTTAAACCTTTACTATAACTAACTTGTCCATGGAACTGCTTATAGTAAAGAAGTTTAAAAGCTGAGTGCAATTTTCAATTAATCATTTTCTCTACAGGAGAAAATTATAATTGCTCCACTAGCAGAAAAGCTACTACAAAATTTGAAGTTGTTCTTAGTTCCCAGACATCCTATTTGTTCTCGTCAAAGGAACGCTTTAACAAGTCCCCTTTCAGTTACAATGTATCCATACAAAAAAAGCAGAAATAAAACGCAGCAACAACTCTCAAAACAGATGGCAGTTTTAAGGACAGTGCGCTTTCTAAGCACCTGGTTAGCATGTACAAAACTCAGCACACACGTACTTTACCCTTTGTGCCATATACTGGGCTTGAGAAACGAAGTTTTAAAGATAACAGTAACAAACAGAAGTATCACATCTAAAACATTTCATTTTAGAATTCAGTTCCTTAAAACTCCTACAGAAATATTATCTATTTCTGGGGAAAATATTTCAGAGCCACAAGCTGATGCAAGAATGCTTTAAAGCTATCAGTTGAACATGTGTTAGAAACAGTCTGTCACGTCATAAAAAAAATCCTTCGCTGGCACTGCAAATGTCCATTTGCTCTTTTAATGTAAGAATCTTCCACACAGTAGAATTTTTATTCCATTGAGTGTATTGTCCACCTAGCAATCTAAAAACATTGATTTTTTTTTTTTAATGCCTAGGATTTTTTTGCATTTAACTTTAATACCACATAAGAAGCATATTCTGAACTGTAACATTTTTTTCCTTGCATATTAGAAAATGAAAAGGAAAAAAGAAGTTATCTCCAGGCCAACAAAAAGTGATAGATACATATACTACTCCAAAAATGTAAACTATAAAGCAATAAAAAGCTATGGCCTTGCAGAAGATTGTACACGTTGGTGTTTTGCTTTTAACCAAAGCCTTAGTAATTTATCTACCTTTGACAGAAAAGACAGCTTAAGAAAAAAAACAATTCATAGTACATATTTTTTTAATCACCATGAGAGCAAGGAACTAAAATAGAGGAATGTAGTACCAACTCAGACTAAAAGGAACAGATTCAGCATTATCTTCAAGCTATACCAAACAACCTTCCTCTTCTTTGCAACACGTGCATATTTTCAAACATGGTGATTACCATGGACTATTAATTAATACCGTCCATCTTAGCCAACTGTAATTCTTTCCCCATGCAATTTATTATCCAATTCGCGGGATCAAAGAGACATTTTCACAAAGCCTTTCATTCAACCAGACTGGATCAACTTAGTTTCCAAATTATTGCATAATATGTAAATTACAATTTTACATATTAATTTTCCTGTTCTGTCAAAACCAACAGAATTATATGAGCAAATATTATCTTAATTTCATTTTAGACACCTGTACATGTTATATGATTGCTTTCCTTTGTTGGGTGCAGTGTTTTCTCTTTTGTCCGCTCTCCATGGGAGAATCGCAGGCACAATGCCATTGTGTTATTTTAATAAAATGATGTGTACTGTCTATATATGTACTATGGGCTGTGTGTTTGCATTAACAAAAACAAGGCCAAAGAGGTGTGGTCTAACTTCAGGAAATGAAAGTGTTGAGAACTGTGGCAACTCTTAATTCCTATGGCCATCTGTTTTTGAGTGTTCTGCCCATTCTTGAGGAAGCTGTTTCCTGCACTGGTATTTTAAACTTGTGATGGAAACTTCTACTGTGCCTTTAAAAAAACCAGCTTTATTAGCCATAGCCTTCCTCCTGCAGGTGTAGAAAACTATTTAGGTACCCAAGCACCTTGATAATTCATTAGAAGCCATTTTAACATTTTCAGTCATTTTGGTATGTCTGTGGTATCTTTTGTAGCTGAAAAGACTCATTGTGAGTCCTGACATACAGAAAATTAAGATTTTGTTGTTGTTGTTTGGGTTTGGATTTTTTTATATAATTACCTCTCAATTTATCTTACTTAAATATTTTCTTCTGGTATTTCTTTGATTCCTCATTTGATAGTTACATGCTATTAAAATAAATTATTTTCCTTTCTGTTTTGACAAGAAAAGTCTCTATCACCAGTGCAGACCCTGATAAATGACAAAACGAAGTCAATCTAGATGTGTGAATATACAAATATTTTAAAACATTCTTTTAACATGGTGAATTTATACAAATTATTTGTACACAAACATAGCTAATCACCCTGTACCCCTTTGACAAAGCTTGAAACTCAGAGATTACAATCTATTTGATTAAAATCAATTTGTTCTCATATTATAACAGCAGCTTACTGACCTAATGAGGATTAGTCTCCCATTTAGTTAGACTTCAGGGTAAAAAGATAGTCCTTGCCCCATAAAGCCTGTAGTGTTTTTAAGATAAGTGGAAATGGTGCGGGCCTAATGATCATAAGGCACTGGAAAGTGATTGTTGATAAAATGTAACAAACTGCACACCTGGATTGTTTTTTAGTCACTTGCACTGGTAAATGTGAAGAAATAAACAGACAGATTTCAGAAGTCCACACATGTAAAGCACCTACCCAACATCTCTCCCTAGGCAGTTTCTTGCAACATTATGAAAATAAAACATCTTTTTTAAAAAAATCTAAAGTGATATGAGTTAACTGTTCCAGAAAAAAATTTTCATGTATCCAGGAGTGATAGTGTCCACCCCTGAAGACTGAGCGGCTCCCTTCAGCAAGTGGCAGGAAGTGCCATAGCCTTTGCCATGATTAACCTTACTGAGCATAGTCAATAATGTGTGTTTCCTGAATTAATAATGTAATAGCAAACTCACAATAAAAAGCATCACGGTCTTGATTTAGCTACATTTTAACGGATGCTAAGACCACGAGAAGAACATTCCATAAGCCACTTGCAAGCTGAAAATAAGAAAACCAATAGGAAGAGCTAGGGTTTTCCCACTTAAAGAGAACTAAATGAAATAAACTGAAGTCTCTTGTTCATTTCTATGACGCTTAGAGTACACCTTATAGCATCTAAAGGGAAAAAAAATGAAATATTCTCAATAAGCCTCTTAAAAATACTGTTTTATCAGAAAGCAATATATGATCTGTTGCATAATTTTCATGTCAGCTGAAATATAAAGAACATATAGAGCAAATAAGTGAGATTCTGTAAAGTTATGAACAAATACTTGTTTGTATTTGCTTATAGATATAAAATAAATACAAATCTATCTTTTCTTGAATTTTAATGATAATTAGTCTCCATCAAACCACTTTTGAGAGAGTATTAATGCATTACAGAGAAAATCTTCTCAAGGCCTCACTATTGAGATTAGCTGACAAGAGCTAGAGATGTTTCTTTAAAACTAAAGTATATTTTATGTTGGCTTCCTGCTAGTACGGTGCACTGTATAGTCCCTGTTTAATAGAAGCATTCAAATTTGATGTTATTTTTCGAGAACAAAAATGTTGTTTATTTATGTTTTTCACAAGCTCATCCGAGGTACCAAAGAACTGATCTGCTGAAAACAATAACTAAAGATGATGAGCTGCAGGTTCACCACCAAGAAAGCTGAACATCAAGCTGAATACCAAGAAAATGTATTTCTGAAATTAATATAAACACCCTCCTATGGATACTAAATCCAACATATAACTTAATAACTCAATATACTTCAGGGGTAGCAACAAGCCTCAAGACAATAAAATTAGTTCAGGCATTGGAAATATTATTCTTATAATAAAAATTCTACTTTTTAACAGAAAATGTGGTAGGAATCATTATTCATAACTGATTTCCCTCAAAGGAAACAGGGCTAAGTACTAATGTCCCACTGAGCTGGCGTTCCATTCCCCAGACAATTCTCTTTTCGATGCTCGGGGAAAAATGGCGCTCAGCCCCCACAGCAGTATCATAAGCTATTAATGCTAACCTGTCATTAATGCAAGATCAAGAATAAGATAAAGCGAACAGAATTTTTTTTTTTTAAATTAAAACCACATTTAATTCTGAGAGCTTTTTTCCATTTTAGTAGTCCTGTTCTTTTCCTAGGTATTTCTGTTTCATTCAAAAGAACACATTTCTTACTTCATTAGAGAAGGCAAGCCTTGAAGCTCAGTGTAAAGTAAATAAACCATGCATAATAATAATAATAATAAAGAATTGCTAGAGTCTTCATCCTATTTATAAGGTCAGTTAAGTTCAAAAGACACCTGCTGCAAATGCCTTTGATTAAAAAGAAACATGTAATCAGCAAGGGTGTCATTCATCCTTACTAATGTCCATATGTCCATACCTAAAAAAACATTAAACAACAAATAACTGGACCAGAAAGTCATCACCAAGTTCAAATTTTCATTTTACTTTGAACCTGATTGATGTAAGTTTTGGAAATAATTAAACATCACAGTACTCCAGAGGTCAGAGACTTTCAAAGCTCAGAGCCCAGTAGCTCCCACTACAAAGAACAGAAAATCAGTTCTCTTCACTTCAAATTAAGAACATTAGGACTTGCTAGGCCAAACTTTTAAAATCTTACCTAGAACATAAGCCATATTTATAAAAGAGTAAGAAAAAACACACAACGCAGAAAATGTTACTAATCACTAATAATTATTTCGGGTAAGTTGAACAAGAAATCATTTTCCAGATCCAGGATCTTCTTTAGCCTTCTTCCCATCTGCCCTGAAGTATTTTTGTATCCAGCTGGCAAATTTCAACCAAAGAGAACAGTCCCAAATTATTACATTCCTAAAATACAAGTCAGGCAATGAAGAGGGATCATCTCAATGCTGCCACACTGAGGAAAGTCTTCTCTGATTTCAACCCCAATTGAAATACACCAGAAAATATACAGAGAGGGGGAGACACTATGAATGCCTCAACCACACAAACACCTCTCAGAACAGAACAGAAGAAAATCAAATCAGAGGACATAAATCTATTGGAAATGCAGTTTCAGACTATTGCTGCTCATGGACTTACACACTGAAATTAACTCAGTTCAGGATTCTTTTTTCTCCTAATTTTTGTATTTAATCAAAAGAGAGCCAATCTCACATTAAGGGAACGTAAGGTGCTACACTTACATTCTATGAGAGATACTCTATGATCATAAAAGGTAGCATTTTGATAGTTGTGGGAAACAATGTTCTTTATCATCTCCTAAAACACAGGTTCATATGCTTTTCATCAGTCTTCCATACTTCCTTGCAGAGGCAGTTGCTGCTGAAAAGGAGTAGTTCACCCTCCATGGGTCTATTCATTCCACGGCATCCCTAACAAGTGCTAGCATGAATACCAAGTGTGATAGCGATTTTTGTGACATAAGTTTCAGCCCTCTTGGAACTAGAACAAAACTATCAGTCTGGCTAAGAGAGGACAAAGAGCCATCTGATAGTAAGTTACTAGTCTAGTTAACAAATGAATCAACAACCCTCTGGTGAAAATCTAGGAAAGTTTTCTGTAGCATCTACTTGATGCCTAGTATTAACAATATCTCCTCCTGTAATTAATCGAAGGGACTCTCTTACAGCTGCTTACACAATCTACCTAACTGTGACAATAAAGAATGTGTCTTATCGAGACTTCACAAGCTAAACAATAACTAAAAGAAGCAATAGTTCCAACAATATCCCAAATGCATTTAATGCACTTTTTCATCTCTCAGACTGGAATATGTCACCTTAAAAACGGGAAAGGAGAGTAAAGAAGAAGATGTATTAAACTATAAACAGTGTAATAAAAATAACACCCCAAAAGAGCTTATGTTTTAATATATTTTGATATTGGCTCATTTTCATTTTTAAGGGACATAAAAAAAAATTGGCAGAAGAAACAGTGAAGAATATTCTATGATACATTACTGTCTTTATCCATTTGTTTTGTCTGGCTTCTGTGTTGTAACACATTGTAGGAGCTGGAAAAAAAATATACAACTCTTATAAAAGTAATATTTACCCAAGAGAAAAATATTGCTCTTGTTCTGGTTCACCTACTTCCATTTTTATGTTGTAATTCTGGCCAAGAACACCCTCCAGGAGTTCTTTGATCGTCTGGTCTGAGGGAGATGGAGAAGTAGACTGCAGGGAAGCAATTATTTCATCAATAGACCTTGCAACCACTTTCACAGGCAATGCTGGTGTGGAAGTAGGCTCTTCAGGTTTGCTCTGCTGGAAGTTCTCGTATATTTTTGAAGTGTCTGGTCTAGTCACATCTCTTGCCTCTTCCAACTGTTCTCGAGCAGACCTCACACTTGGCTGCTTGCTTCCTTTTCTCAGCACTCTTCCCGATTCAACATCTAAATCTTGTTGCTTTGCTTTTGAAATCACTCTGCTTCTCTTGTTACAGCTTTCCCTGGTGATTTTTCCCTTTCTTGAAATGTTTTTACTTGTATTAGAATCTGTAGAGCTAAATTCATCACTATCTTTAATCACAGTATCTATTTCTTCAGTTTTCTCTCTTTTTAAATTCTGGGGATCCATCTGTAGCATAGGCACTCTATCCTTTACTTTACTGACAGCTTTTGTCTTTTCTAATGAGATAGGGGAGCTATTAACATGAAAATTAGACCTGCAGTAACTTGGCTTCTGAGGTGGTGCTGGGTGCTTGACCATTACAATTTTTTTACTGGTACCCGCAAATGATGCTATTACTGGCAGTTTTACAACTGTACTTTCACGACTACAAGTGGCATTTTCTCTGTTAGCTTTTTCAGAGCAACTTTTCTGATTTTTGTCAGCACTGTCTTCTTCCACAGATTTATTTCTGTGAGTCATCACCCTGAGATCAGGAGTTTGTTTCTTCATGTCTCTTACTTCAGAAGATATCCTTACTTTCTGTGAACATCAGAACACCCAATGAATTAGTTAGGAATATTTTTATTTGTATTCATGACAGGCTTATGTGGACTCTTTGACCTCTGGAGAGGACAATGTTCTTAACTGATGCAATTGATCTGGTGTTAAATCTTCCAATAAGGGCTAAATGCTCACGTTTCTAGGAGCAGTAACTATTGCTTGTTTGATCTTCAGACTATCCCACTGAGATTCCCTGCATATAGTCTCATGTTCCTTAATCATATTCAGCTCCTCCACATAACTCAGTCCAAAGGGCTCATGTTTTCTAGCAATTTTCTCCTACTGTATGCAGCCTGTAAATTCAAACAGATATTACGTTTTGTATTTTATATACCAACAGAGAACCCAATCTTGCAAAGACTACTTCATTTTGCTAAGGGCCCCACTGATTTTAACTAGACTGTTCTGAACATGTATAATTAAGCACCAGCAATGGCTATTAGCATTTTACCTGAGGAAACAACTGAACCATTTCTATCTTTGGGAGCATAAATTGGGAGTCGGACAGAAACTCCCAAGAGAGAAAGAACTGAGAAAGGATACAGCTCAACGCTTTCTCAAAGTAACCACAAGAAGTTTTCCGCCTACAAAAACCAATGACCCCTCCAAGCCCCACTTCTCCCCCTTGAGCATCTTTTACGTGCGCGGCTCTGCTGAGAGTTTATTCCCTTGAGTGAGCTTATGTTTTAAGGGCTGCAAGTTTCAGCGTCATCCGGAGACGTCGTCCCGGAGGCGCAAGCGGAACCACGGGTTTTGAAGGCCGCGGTGTGGCCGAGGTTGTTTGTACCGCTGTAGCCTCCTTTCTCTTCTGTGTATGGCAAACCTTGTTCTGCTGTCAGTCACGGGCTCGTTAAAGTTTTGCCCTGAAAACCAAACGTAGGAATGGCATTGCTGGGGATTTGTGTGCCATGCAATGCGACCGCTTCCTAAATGCAATTACAGATGCGTTTTTCCTGTCAAACTGATTTTCCTAATTGTCAGAGAGCCAGCTTGGAGATGAAAGCCCAACTCAGCTGCGTTTGACTCGTTTATCATCATCAATAAAGTTTCCATCATCAGGATTTAATTTACAATACATGGGATTGCCTGCAACAGGGTAGACTCCACCTCAGACTCCATAAACCGACCAGCTTTGCAGTATTAACAGGAGCGAAAATCTGAAACCAGTTCTCTGGGAGGAATCCTGACTCCGTGTCTCACAGTTTTACTAGCCTGTCCTTCAAAGAACAGAGGTATCAAATGTATTTGACAGCTGTCTGGTGAAAGTTAAATTTTAACAGTACTTCTTTTCACACATGAAGTATGAAGTAAAAGTGGACCAAGAACATGTATGACCATTTCAGTGTCCAACAAACGTAGGGATGATAACATGTGCTAAAAATCATCAAACTTCAGGAAAGAAAGAAAAAAATGAACATACAGATTAAAAGAAAATGGGAAAGGTCAAAGTGAATCTACCAAGATGGTTATAACTATGGCACAAACCTGCAAGGTCACATTGACCAGGTTCCCAAGAAGGCTGGTTGTCTAGAACACAGGCAAAGCAAAGCAGCTTATAGCAGTAAGGGGGGGGA